ATGGACTCGCAGGACTCCCCTAATTACCTATCGTCGGACTTAGACTTAGACAGTCCTGTAAAAATCGACACCGCGGTCGAATCACTTTCAACCCTAATTAAATCTTCCCTTAAGGAGAATGAAAGGGTCGTTCCGGTTGCTAATACTAATGGGCTTCCCCTATATATTAGCAACATATTAAAAGCTAAAAAAGCTGCTTTCCGGAGAGCAGCTAAATATCCCACCCCCGAATATAGGCATACGGCTAATCGTCTTCAACGAAAACTCCGTTCGCACCTTTGAAAGAGTCATTCAAAATCGAATGAGGCGCCATCTGTTTCCCACAGACGGTGACCCCATTGTCATCCCACACCAATTTGGTTTCCGCGCAAAACACTCGTGTCCACAACAGGTACACCGCATTGTGGAATATATCCTCAGCGGTTTTTATCCACGTCGACTAAAGACAATCGCGGTCTTTTTCGACATTGCCAAAGCCTTCGACCGAGTCTGGCATGAAGGCCTTATTTTCAAATTATATAGGATAGGACTCTCCGATAGTCTAGTACGTCTCGTAGCCTCTTATTTACAACATCGTACCTTTCGTTTTAGACACGAAGGCACGTTATCCTCTCAGCGCCCCATTAAAGCTGGTGTTCCTCAAGGATCAGTACTAGCTCCCCTCCTGTACATCTTGTACACCAACGACATTCCTATCCCGTCGAATGGTGTACAGCTCTCACTCTTCGCAGATGACACTGCACTATACTTCAAAAGTCCTAGAATATCTTCAGCAAGGAACAAGATCCAAAAGTCAGTCGATGACCTAGGAGACTGGTTCCAAAAATGGCGTATCGATGTGAACCCGGAGAAGAGCTCCGCAGTTCAATTCGATATTAAAAGACGCCGTAATAAAAACAAGAAAAATACTCCACCTATACGAATGCTAGGGACCCCTGTCCCATGGCACATGTCAGCAAAATATTTAGGCGTCACCCTTGACTATAGGCTTACTTTTGAGTCTCATGTCAAAAGAGTAACGCGTCTAGCACGTTTCTATTTAGGTCGGCTTAACAGTATGTTAGGCAGACATAGCAAAATGTCATTACGAAATAAGCGAACCCTCTATAAGGTTTGTATACGACCGGTTATGACTTACTCGGCTCCTATTTTTGCACACGCTAACGATAAAATTATTAACGAACTCCAAGTAGTTCAAAACCTCTTCTGTCGTCGAGCTACGAACGCACCTTGGTACGTCCGTAATGCCGACCTTCACCGGGATTTAGAAATCCCAACAATCCAGCAATGTCTTAAAAAATTCTCTGAAAACTTCTTTAAAGTATCAGAGTCGCATACTAACACACTTATTCGTGAGGCAGTTACTTATACCGCCCCACTCCCTTCTCGCTATAGCGTCCGCAGGCCGAGAAACACTCTCTTGGACCCGCCAAATAAGTTGTCAAACGACCTGAACTGCCTCCTGGCGGCTCAGGCCAATCCTAATTAAATTAAAAACTAGTTAAAATTAATAATATGCCTTCGTAGGCAGTCCCTAAACGGCACTTAGCCGTCTGCGCCCTCTTTTCCCAAAAGAGGGTCGCTTTAGATACGGCATATGCAGCTTTAATAGAGCTAGTTGCCAGTCCCCAAAGGCGGTTTTTAGTGGGTATCACTTAGGTCCCCCGGTAGGCAGTGAGTCCCACATAACCAGGACAGACCGGCTGTCGTGGTATGCATAATGCATTTTCCGCCTCCCTCAGTGGTAGCCCTTTTCCAATTGCTTCGGGCGCAAAAAAAAAAAAAAAAAGGTAAATGTTATTAAATTTTTCCCTGTAGGTGAAACTACCTGTTACAATAATAGTGCGCTAAATTTAAAATACGTAAATAATATATTTTAAATATAAAAAAATACAATTTATTTTACATCAAAATTAAATGAAACGCTCATGAGACGTGAACTTTTGGATTTTCCAAACTATTCTAATACTACTGCTCCACAATTTTTTTTGTTTTATGAGGATAATATCATGAATACTACACGTCAAAATAACAGCTAATTGCATATGAAAGTATATATGGTACTTATAACAAAAACACAATTTTTAACATTTTTGTCTGTCTGTCTGTCTATCTGTCTGTCTGTCTGTTTGTTCCGGCTAATCTCCAAAACGGCTTTACCGATTTTGACGGGACTTTCATTGGTAGATAGCTCATGTTATAAGGGGTAACTTCGGATACTTATATTTTAGAAAAATATTTAGGGTTCCGCGCAACAATATTAAAACCCTAAATTACACGCGGGCGAAGTCGCAGGGAACAGCTAGTTTGTTTATAAAATTAACTTACAAAGTTGAATAGTAAACCAGTTTAGTTACGTCAATTTGGTTAACCACTAGCACTATTTGTTTGTTTGCATAATTTACATTTGCGAAGGTTACGACCGCAAAATTGCACTCCCATGCGACTAAATGTAGTATTTGTGTATTTATGCACTTTATAACTTTGTTTGCTAAGCTTTAATTTCACATTTTAACGTAGCAGGCAACGTAGTGAAATCTATATATTTGTGCATTAACAAGAATTATTGTTTGCACAACAGATTAAAAATTTTGTACAACCGACTTCAATATAAATTATTAAGAATAATTCAAAAACTATTGGTCAGACCTTGATCAAATTTATATGGGATCACATGTAAAGTACCAGCTTTCAAATAAAAAGAGAATCATCGAAATCTGTTCACTCGGTAAAAAGTTATAAGGTAACACACATAAAAAAAACATACCGTCGAATTGAGTACCGGCTCCTTTTTGAAGTCGGTAGAAAAAGAGGCAACAACTCAAATAGGTCTACAACTCAGCACATCATAATGATACTAAAGCTGTATCGCCAGTGAAAGCAAGCAAAATTTGAGTTCACTTTACATTATTAAAGTTTGATCACAATTTCGAACAACCAATTGGGAAGAAATTTTATCGAGTGGCAGACTCGTACCGGTAAGCGAAGTGTAATCGTGGAGTTACGACCTGGACCTGGCGTAGGAAGTCGATGAATGCAGGTGGCTCAGAACTTAGGCTTATGTCGGAAATATACTACCTCGTCCTTCGAATTGAAAAAATTAAGCCACGTTACATTGTTAAACGATGACCGTTACTGCTGTCACTTTTAGTTGAGACACTAAACATTAATTAATTTAAGTACTTATAACTTTTTTAATTTGATATAATCATAGGACTTACGTTTTAATTCAAAATTGAAGTGGATGTTATAAATTTACAATATAGTTTTTAAATAGTTGGGGTGGATATTATAAAGTTACAATTACCACTGAAGTTGCCATATAAAAATGATTGTGATAATGATGATTGACTATACGGTCTTATTAAACGGTACACTAGATCAGGTGAGGTTTAGTTAAGCTCACTTCATTGAACATAGAAGTACTTTTCACATCTGTTTTTTTTTTTAAGATTTGAATATAAAAGAAATTAATATTACTTTCAAATCTTAAGATAAAACAGTTATTTAAAGTTAGCAAACAAAACAAAATTCAATACTTTATTAAAAAAAATATGCGTGAGTTAAGTGGAATATTCGGTTGGAACGAAGTTACTTTTGAAGTATATTATTATTGATAAACATATTATATGATTGATTAACAAATACAAATAAATGAATTACTCGCGACTATTAAAATGAAGCGTCATTTAAAATAAAATTATATTTCTTTCATGGCAAGATAAGAAAAAGTGCGGATATTATTCCATCTCGCTTCCTTATTGCCACCAAGGCCGCCTACACTACGTTTGAAAGCGTCGTGATGAAAAAATCTTTTTCCATCACGACCCCTTCTTTTTCTTGCCTATCCCCATCCGAGAAATTCATACCGTTCGATAAGGAACTTCGTTCAAACAAGAAATAAAAGTTTATAGTTGCAGAATATTAAGTGATAATCGAAGTTCACAATGACAGGCAATTAGTACTGCAAACAGCTTTTGGCGATAACGGTTGATCAACAGATTTTAGACAAAGACTAATAAACCGTATCCAAATAACTTTATATTACGATAAACCATTTAATCGTGAAATACATAGTTTAAAAGTTCACTGTCTGATTACTGCTTGGTAAAATTTTAACGAAAAATAACATTTAATTTAAGTCAGAGTTAGCGAGTTAAAATATTTTCGTAAAAAACTTTTACAATAAAATTTATCTTTCGCAAAAACGACAAAAAAAAAACGAGTAAAATTAGATATACATTTTCAACATAAACTTTGAAAGTTTGTCACATGCACGACTTTTACGTAGACTACTATTAGGTACAGAATAGTATTTTAATAAAAGTAAGAAAGAAAGAATACTAAAAGATAATTACCTTTCGTAATACCGTTACTGTTACGGCCTATTTGATTCCACTGCTGAACATAGACCTCCCACATAGATTGCCTCATAGGAGAGATATTTGCCATAGTTGCCACGCTTGGTGAGCGAGTTGGCAACCGCAGTTTTATTTTTTATTTTTAGTCGTTATTAGAAAGACACTGCCTTGCATCTCCTGATTTGTTGCCCTCTGTCTCTTCTTACGACACCCACGGGATAATACGGGGTAGTGGATATTCTTACACCGCCACTATACGGTATAATTTTACGACACAAGGTATATTTTAAGAGCAATGTTTTTTTCCTCTCAATTTATAGCATAGGGATGTTCATGTGCCTCGGAAAGCACGTAAAGCTTGTTGCAAAGCTTTTTGCTGCTGCTGCGCCCGATTTTTCTCCGGTTGTGTCGGATTATGGTTTCATCGGACTATGAAAGTGAGCAAACAGAGAGTGCACCTGTACATATACACACACTTAGTGCACTATAATATTGTCCAGCGCAGTTGGCTAGTCTCCGTTGAGACTGGGTACTGGCACCGAAATTCAAACTGGAGGACATGACATATCAGAAGCTTTCATGCTGTTAATAGATTATAACATATCGAACAATGTTAAGCAAAGAAAAAGGAAAAAGTACACTTACCATCATCGTTGTCTGGCTCCTCAATCGTCCTAGCACCGTCAGGAAGATCTACTTTTAATCCTTTAGTTTTAAAGAACACCTTTACTAATTTTATTAAATACTTGGCAAACTCCGACCACTCTGATAAAATGCTTCTTGGTCCTTTTACTAGGAACTCTTCTTCCTCGTTGGTTGCGATAGATTTTGATGTTTCTTCATCTAAAGGTACGAAGCTTATCGTTTTGCTTGCTCTAATCGTCTCATTAGTATACAGATCACCAAAAAATGTATTTGTGGCAATTTTTAACGCTCGATACTTCATACAAGATAATGCTTCTCCCTTTATATAGCAAGCGTCCTTCACAAATGTGAGATATCCATCTTCTATGCTATTTACTTGACAAAAGATTGCCATTATAAATAGAATTTGTAGCGATGATAAAGTTCTGTAGAACATGATGAGACGTGTATCTTTTCTGAAAGTTAAGCATTCTTTTTTATTTGCGTTATTACTATTACAGACATATTAGAGAGAGGACAGTATTAACATTCTGTCAAGAATTGACCATCAAACAGGTCAACGAATATAATGTTTTTGACATGGTAAAACAATGGTACAGCTATATTTCGGTTGTAGCACGAATGGGTCGGCTCTACCGGTGAAGGACTACACCCTCACATAATTTCAGCGTAAAATAGCAGCTTATGTTTTGTATGGTGTGTGTAGCGAACCGCAGACCCTTTTTTACTGGAAACGAGGCATTCCATACTAAACGCCCGGGGTGACAACGCATCTGCTTTTTGATTCTTAATCGAGGAAACATGTCTCTGGGCCACAGCATCCTCTCACCATCAGGTGAACTGTGTGCTCGTTTATCACCCTTATTCTATAAAAATATGTTAAGATATCAAAAGGGAAGTAAAAAAAAAGCTGTGATTGAATGGTACTTAAGAGAACCATAGTATGCAGCTCAAGAGTAAAATACTTATTTATATATAAAACCATTTTTATGTCGCTGCGCATGATAAGAGGCCTGGTTCTTTTCTCGCTCAAAGTCTAAGTATAGCCATTCATCGAAGAAAAGCAGCCAGCGTTCTAGGTACGATACCACGAGGAGTATGGCTGTACGATAATTTAAATTTTAGGTTTTATTTTTTTAGTTATACATAGTTATTTTGGAACGAAGTTCCTTATCGGAAAACGGGTTTGGCGGATGGGTGCTAGGCGAAAAAAAGTAGATGGAATAGTATCCATCTCCCTCGCACTTTTTGTTATCTTGCCATGAAAGAAATATTATTTTATTTCAAATGACGCTTCATTTTAATAGACGCTAGTAATTCATCTATTTGTATTTCTTAATCAATAATATAATACCTACGTTTATCAATACTACGCAAGAATATTCGTTCACAGTCACGCATTTTTTTTAATTGTATATATTTCAATATTATTTTGTCTGCTTTAAAATTGCATATATCGGCTATACACAAAACAATTATTGGGATAAACAAAGTGGAAATTAATTACTAAGTCACGAGGTCTGGGTTCAATTTCAGTTGAAACTTACACGATGCGTAATGCGAAAATAGCAATCATTGGCTTTTAGCTCCGTATTTCTGTTGTCTATGATACAACATCTTAACTGAACTTAATGCATTATAAATTCCGGTACTATTAGGTGGTAGAACTACTTTTATGGAGGAGTACGTTTGGTTAGATACCTCTACACTTTTACTACAATTAAAGACTGTGAGTCACTCCATCTTAGTCCTCAGAGGTTACAATGCATCTGTAACGTTCTTTATTTAAAATTCGCTGCTGGTGTCTATGGACTGTAGTAGCTGTTTACTATCGAGGCGACTATGAGTTCGTTTCTTACGTCACTTTTATTTAAAAAAAAATCGAAAGTTGTTGCGCGATTCATAATTTTACTACGTACTTATACAACTAGTCCTACTATACTACTAGTATTATATATAAGTCTTATAATTTATGTGATCAGAGCGGCAGGTAAAAGATAATATTTTATATTCCAATATTATTTTTACAGACGCGCATCGGGTGTGTTAAATTTATAAAAATTCTGTAGTTTCCTATGTGAGCTGTGCGTTTAAGGATTTATTAACATAGAAAAAATAGAAAAGTAACATACACAATACCTTTTTTTTTACTAAAATAACAAAAATAGAATTGAACAAACAAACCTAAATATAAGAGATCATCAAACAAGCCTATATTTATTTTGTAAGCTTATGGGATTTATAACGACTTTTCTCATATGTTTTTATATATTTTTTTTTATATATCATACTAGCAAACATTGGGCTATTGTAAATAAATGAGGGACAATTGAGGAAATTGTAGCAACAGTTTTTCATGTTGTTTTTTTAATATACTTTGACCAAATCTATTTTTATTCAACTTGGTGATAAGACTGCTTTCATTGCTATATGGAATTTCACCTTAGACGTTAGAGGTGCAAATACATCCGTAGTTTTGTTTAAAAAAAATTGCATATATCCATGGACTACAGTTATTCAATGTCACTTTTTTATGCAACACGAATGACACGCGCGAACACAGTTCACCTGATGGTAAGTGGATGCTGTGCCATGTTCCCATGAACATTTAGATACATTTATCCTCGATTAAGAATCAAAATACAGATGCGTTGTTATTCCCAAAGGAATAACATGGAATGCCCGTTAACAATGAATAGATTCTTCGTTTCACTACACTGGCCATACAAAACACAACATCATTAAACTGCCGGTTGAATCGACCCATTCGTACTATAGCCTAACAAAGCTGCAGCTTGGCTTACCACCTAAGATTAACTGTGAGCTCCATATTACTTTCATGTTACCACATCATAACATTATCACATCAGTGTCAGTGTAGGTCATTAGTTTTTAAATAGTTCTATTTTAATAATTAATATGCATCCGTAGTTGATATAGGGGCGGTGTAAGAATATCCACTACCCCATATCATTCCGTGGGTGTCGTAGGAATCGACAAATGTGCAGCAGCATCTTCCTAATAACGAATAAAAAAAACTGTGGTTACAAAACCGCTTGCCAAGCGTGGCAACAGTGGCAAATATGGGGGATATGAGGCAATCAAAGGGGGAGGCCCTATATTTAGCACTGGACTTTAATAGGCTGTAATGGATGGATGTATAGAAGATAACCTACCAGGGGCACATGAGCCACTAAGAGATGAAATTATTAAATCAACAGTAACATTACAACTATGGCAAATATCCTCTCTATGAAGCAATCTATAAGGGAGGCCTATTTTCGGGAGTGGACTTTAATAGGCTGTAACGGCAATTAGTTTACCTACTGAGTATTTTGTCATGTGGGGACAGGGTAAGAGAAACCGTTACCCCATTTTCCGGTAGTGAATTTCGTAAAAGGTGATTATGAGATATAACAAAAATATTATTCGGCTTCCGATGGATGGCGCAAGCGGAATTAAGCCAACTCACTTACGCCAGACAAAATATATTCAGATCCAGACAAGGAAGTAAGTCAAAAAAATTTTTTTAATAGAATTAAGGTGACAAACGAGCACACAGTCCACCTGATGATAAGTGGTTGCTGTGGCCCATATACATCTACATTTATCTTCGTTTGCGAATTAAAATTCAGATGCGTTGTCACCTGTGAGGACTAAGATGGAATGTATCTTTTCCAGTAAAATGGGTCACCGGTTCTCTACATTCACCATACGAAAAACAGCAGTATTAAGCTGCTATTTTATGCTGGTATTCTGTGAGAGCGTGATCTTTCCCCGGTCGAGCCGACCCATTCGTGCTACAACTATACTATTAATATAGCTGCAGCCTGGCTCTACCACGTGAGATGCTAAACATCTGGAACTGTGAACATTGATACTTCAGTCAAACATCACAATTTTGTTTTAATCGTATAGTGTAGCGGTACTCCATACATTATGAGAGGCCTATATCACAGCCATGCTACAGATATGTTATGTTTGTAATACCGAATGGGTCGGCTCGACCGGTGAACAGCTACGATCTCACAGAATACCAGCTTGGAATAGCAGCTCAATGCTGCTGTGTTTCGTATGGTGAGTGTAGAGAACCGGAGACACTTTATACTGGAAACGAGGCATTTCATATTCGTCTCTAGTGGTGACAACGCATTTCCATTTTAATTCTTAATTGAGGATAGATGTAGATGTTTCTAAGCCACAGCATCCACGTACAATACTATAAAAAATAGAGTTTAGTGGACTAATGATGAAGAAGATGATACTTAGCAACATTAATATCGTTGTAAGCAACTTAAGGTGTCTTTATAGTTTAATTAAAAGTGCAAACCCAGTTTCTAGTTTATGTTTAAAACTTACGTCGTTAGCTGTGAACGACATAGACTATCGATAACAAACTTTTCTCCTCTAACAACGTCTAGTGTCATTTACTTGTGGTTAGAAAGTACTACAGCTAGGTTAGGATAAACAACAAATCTATACATATCCATTACAGCCTATAAAATTCCACTACCGAGCGTATGCCTCCCCCATACATTTTCATAGGGATATTTGCCATAGTTGCAATGTTTGGCAAGGAAGTTGGCAAGCGCAGTTATTTATTATTTAGAGTTGTTTTCAGGAAGATGCCACTCCGATAGATTGCCTCATAGCGGGAATATTTCCCATATTTGCCACGCTTGGCAAGTGGGTTGGCAACCACAGTATTTTTTTAGTCGTTATAAGGAAGACGCTGCTTTTTATTTTATTTTTATTTATTGTCTACAGAACCAACATTTTGTAGCGTTATAAATTTTGTATATATTTAAACATTTAACATACATATTTGAAGATATTTAAGGGTACTTTACGGTACGCATTTTACAAAACACAGTGCATATATGTATATCTAGCAGTGTTTTGGTATTGTAATGTATGGTTGTGTGTGTGATTTTGAGATGTAGGTAATGAAGTGTTTGTAGTGCAGTGTAAGTAGCGGAGGAAAGGATGTGATTATTTATTACGTCTTATTTCTGAGAATTGAGATTAGTAGAAGGTTTTGTTATAGTAATTAAGTGTACGATAATGACAGAATTATGAGTACATTTAGAACGACTTAAAGAAACATGAAATAGAGATGTGAGTCTGGTACGTTTTTAAGGAGTATTAAAAAATATAGGCATTGAAACGTCAATTCGGGACTATCAATTTTATTACTACAGACGTCGTGTAGAAACAAAATTTACTGCTGCCTATCTCATGTTTTTCATTTTCCCTCTGTACGCCTCTTACGACATCCTCAAGACGATATGGGGCATACGATATTCATACACCGTCACTACACGGCATCAATACATATTTAGGCACGAAAATCTATACATGTACATGGATGTAAATAATTTCCTTCCTTGTTTGAAAGCACCAGATTTAAAAAAAAACATCATCAAATTGGTTTAC